TGAACCTGATGAAAGCAAAATGATTTAGTAAGAATTGGTTCTGATTTAGAAGGCATTATAAAATTTAAATCTAACAGATTAATAATTTTCATTTGCCCAAGAGTTTAAGTAAAAGATACTAGTCTTATCTAATACGTCTCTTAGCTAGAATAATTTTTTGAAAGAAGCTCAATTCATGTTAACTCTTATTCAACAAACTGAAAAATAAGTCTCAAAACTTGAAATGTTTTTTCTTCAAAAAGGTAACTTAATTCAATACTGTTAAAGTTTATTAAATAATCTAAATTAGCATTACGAACACCAGATCTAAGAGCTTCAAAAATGCTTTAATGAATTTTTAGAAAGTTTTAAGACAGTTCTAATTTTAAAAAATGAAATAGAATCTGCTTCTAAACCTGAAAAATTTAAAGAAATTAAATAACAATATTCTCGCTAGCTTTTGTTTTCTTTTATGAAAAAGTAAAGGTTGAACATTTTAAAGCTTAAATTACAATTAATTGCTTTCAAAGAATGTTTTAAAAATATATTAACAATAGAATTTTAATAGTTACAAGATAATATCAATTTAGATGAGTATCTACTTGATGTAATTAAGGATTATCCAAAAACAATAAAATGCTGCGACGATTCTTTATAAGATCAACCTATTGCCGAATTAACTAACTTGTAAATTACTGAACAAGACTACTAAAATTAGTTATCAAAATAAAAAGGAGTTATAGAATACATAATTTTTATATTAAGTTTAGAAGAATAAATGATTGATTCATAAAGTATAGATTTAGAATTAATTGAAAATGAATTTGGATAATTATTTAAAGAAGAATCATGTTCTTTCACTTTAACAGAAAGAATTATGAGAATAATAGAAAATGCTTCAATTGACAATTCTATAAAAACAGTGACTAATGAAAATTTTAATCAATCAGAATTGAATATTGAGAGAGAAAAATATGAGAACTTATGGTAATAATTAAGAATTTTTGAGAATTGTGATGATATAGAAAATTTCAAAAAATTCATCGGTCATATCGAGATTGTTGTTGAGCTATTAAGAAATTCATAGGGTTAAAATTTAGAAATTTTAAAAATACCTATTACTGAATTGTTAAAGGAATTAAAAATTTTTAAAATAGAATTTTTAGAAACAAATAGAAAAAAGCTTAATTTTATTAATAAATAGTAATATTAAAATGATCAAATTCTAGTTAGTGAAAAAAATGATATTCTAGAAAATTAATTTGATTATTGTGAACAAAAAAATATCCAGACTTCATCTGATGAAAAATATGCAAAATATTTATAAAACATAATTATGGTTCTGAAGTTATCATCGTCAAAAATAAAAAAAGATAAGCAGTAATTATGCTAATTACTTGAAGAAACTTAACAATTCTCTAATAAACTTCATCTCATTCAAAAATATAATAAAAATATATAAGCAAATACATATAACAAATTTCATAGTTATTTCTAAAAATAAATTTAAATTTTTGAAAAATAACAAGTGACAACAGACAATTTATAATAATTGGAAAAAGAATCATTCCAAGATTACTTTAAAAGAATAGAAATCAATATTTTGTAAATTAAAAATGAAAAAGATGATAAACCTATTTAATAATAAACAAATATTTGCAATTTTCTCAATAAGTTAATGGGAGAATTAAAATAGCAATTAATTTAGACTAAGTGTGTGAGCTCAAAAATTTAGTTTGGTTAAGAATATCTAATTAAATAAAAAAAAAAATATACCTATGGGAAAACCTAGAAGAAGAAGTAAATGATATAGAATCAAACCAACCATTAGAATTATTTTAGTCTTTGAACCAAAAGTATAAAGATTATAAAAATAATGACTAATGGAAAATTAAATAGGGTCTAGTGTTTACTATAATTTAAATTTCATAAAATTGCTTCACAGAGACAATTATTAGTTTTGTTAATAAGCTCTAATTAAATTATGGGTATTAGAAAAAGATTAAAGAGTTAGAAATTTATTAAAAAGCTAAAACTTAATAAGTTTATAGATGTAAATTTTGTAGAAAGACTGGAAGACTTAAAACGATAGAATTGCAGGAGAAATGTAATAAATGTTGAGTCTAATCGATTTTTTGCAAGTATAAATTTCTTAAGAGGCAAATGTGAACAAAAGAGATTAATATTTGAAATAAATAGATGAAACAACTGAACAACTTGGTGAATATATTTAAAATATCAGTGAAATGGGGTAATAACTTAAATTAATAACTGACTTTGTTAATCATATAAGAAAAGGTTTATTTAGAGTTGAGGGAAAAATAAATGAGATGAAGAAATAACTAAACAGCTTGAGTAATGACATAAAATTTCTTATGGGAAAATCTGTTGAAGAACTTTTTGATATTAGAAAATCGAAAGTATTAAAAGAAGCAGCGCAGAAAAATGTTAGGTCGATATATGTGCCATTAAAAACATTGGAGATATTTCATCAAATAGAAGAAGGGGAAAAGAATAAATAAAAGAGTATTTTTGATGAATTTGGAAAATTTATATGATAAAAAAGGAAAAGTCAATGAGTTTTTATTAGATGATAAAGAAGAAGTATTATTAATTCATGGGGTAGCTGGATCAGGCAAAAGTACTGCAGCTAAGAAAATAGAAGAGTTTATTTGGAAATTATATGACAATAATTAAAAAATTGGGAATAAACTGTTAATACCAATTTATATATCATTGCCCTCTTTAAAAAATCCTGTGTTTTAAGCAGTAGAGGAAGCACTTCATCAAAATCAGTATGGTTTTGATGAGCTTTAATTGAAAGAATGTAAAGAGATGTTAGAAAAGAAAGATTTCCGATTTCTGTTGATAATGGACAGTTATGATGAGATGAAGTTAGAAAATATTTAGAAAAACTTATATATTAATAATAAACTGAAATAGAATTGGTCAAACCCACTTGTTATTTTTACTACAAGGAGTGAAATTTTTCAAAGTAATAATTATTCTCAATGGTTTGAATCAGAAGATAAGAATAAATTAAAAGAAGTCTAACTTCAAAAATTTGATTCTAAATAAATGCAAGAATATCTAGAAAAATTCACAATTTAAAGTGTTAAAATGTTGATTTTTGAAATTTTTGAATGGTAAACACAAATATTAAATCAAGGTACTATCGATATCAATAAATTTGAAATTTGTTGGGAAAAATTGAAATAATTTCTAAAAAAAGATATATCAGGATTACAAGAAGAGAATCTATTGAATTAAAAATAAATAAACCTTATTTAATCGTTTTTGAAGAATGATGAGTTTCTATCTTTAAAAAGTTATGATGCTTTAAGAAGTTTAAGCATAAATTTTCAAAAACTGTGGAGCGCTGAAAAGTACAACAAAATGATGAGGTAAATAAATTTAAATAAATTGGTGGTTACTCCTTATATGATGGAGATAGTAGTTTAAGTGTTGCCCCAAATGATATTTAAAGCAACTGAGGTAAATAATTTGAAATAAAATTTTATAAAGAATTTTTCTCATACTCTTAAAGAATTATACAAAAGTCAATATTTAATTAAAATGTATCATCAAAAATAGATAAAACTGGTGGCATCTTAAATTGGATATGAAAACTCTTAGAAAGTTGATTAGGATGAAAAATTGGAAGTTAAATTGTTTGATATAGAAAATTTAGAAAAACTAAACTATCAAGAATTGGCATTCAAATTTTGGGATAAAATAGAAGAAAATTCTATTCTTATTCAATACTAGATTTCCTAGGAAAATAGTATGTTAAAGTCCTAACTTTTGAAAATATTTGGACAAAACCATTTAGATTAATTATCAACTAAAGTCACAATTCAAAATGAAAAAATAATTGATGTATTTATTGATGCATTAAAAGACTTAAATCTAACAAGTTATGATTTTTACGAAGAGTTTATAAATTAACACTATTAGAAATAAATAGAAAAGTAGAGAAAATTAGGAAAATCTATAAATAATGATCGTTTTCTGCATGATATAAAAAAATATTCAACCAACCTTGCGAAAAAAATGAGCATGAATGAAATAACTTAAGTCTAATATTAATAATATGGATTATTGTACAAAGAAGAAGGAGAAAAGGAAAAATTATGGCTAAATGATTTTTTTAATGATGATGATTAATTTGGATCTTATAGAAAAGATATACGAAGCTGTTCACTTGTGTAATAAAATGGAGCTAACTTTTAATTTGTCCATAAATCTATTTAAGAGTTCTTAATTGCTGCTGATTTATATGAAGTGTTAGTTTAATCAAAAGATTTTGATATATAAATATTGAATACTATAGTAGAACTGTTGTCAAAAAAAAATAATCAAGAATAAGATTGCTAAAATTTTTTATCAAATGTATTCGTAACAAATTCAAAAAATTATAATTAACTTGAAAATATATCACTTATGGAAAAACAAGCGTAAAGTGATGCTGTTTCATAGACTGTTAATTCAATTACTCGTTTAATCAAAACCATAAAAAAACACGAAATTAGTTTTCTTAATTATTCCACTGAAATATATGCTGAAACAAGATAATACCTCATTTAAAAAATATCATAAGAAACGAGAATAATAGAATTTTTGAAATTCTTAGTTCATCTAACCAAAATAGATTATACTCTTATAATTTGTGGATCTAATGCAATTAATATATTGGTTGAAATGAAAGTGGATCTAACAAACTAAAATTTCTAAAATATAAGAATTTAAAATACTTCTTTATTTGGAGGTAATTTTGCAAAATGCAATTTATCAAGATCTATATTATAAAATGTAAATATAAATGGAATTAATTTATGCGGAACCTAAATGTTTGATTGTAATTGGAAAAAATTAAAAATAAACGATTTATATTAATTGAATGGTCATACTAGTTATGTCTACTCAGTCTGTTTCTCTCCAGATGGAAATATATTAGCTTCTGGTAGTGAAGATAAGTCTATTTGTTTATGGGATGTCAAAACAGGATAATAAAAAGCCAAATTAGATGGTCATTACTATTCAGTCAACTAAGTCTGTTTTTCACCAGATGGAAATACATTAGCCTCTGGTAGTAGTGATAACTCTATCTTTTTATGGGATGTAAAAACAGGAGTATCAAAAGTAAAATTAGGTGGTCATGATGAGTGTGTCAACTCTGTTTGTTTCTCTCCAGATGGAAATATATTAGCTTCAGGTAGTGAAGATAAGTCTATTTGTTTATGGGATGTCAAAACAGGAAAATAAAAAGCCAAATTAGATGGTNAATACTAGATTTCCTAGGAAAATAGTATGTTAAAGTCCTAACTTTTGAAAATATTTGGACAAAACCATTTAGATTAATTATCAACTAAAGTCACAATTCAAAATGAAAAAATAATTGATGTATTTATTGATGCATTAAAAGACTTAAATCTAACAAGTTATGATTTTTACGAAGAGTTTATAAATTAACACTATTAGAAATAAATAGAAAAGTAGAGAAAATTAGGAAAATCTATAAATAATGATCGTTTTCTGCATGATATAAAAAAATATTCAACCAACCTTGCGAAAAAAATGAGCATGAATGAAATAACTTAAGTCTAATATTAATAATATGGATTATTGTACAAAGAAGAAGGAGAAAAGGAAAAATTATGGCTAAATGATTTTTTTAATGATGATGATTAATTTGGATCTTATAGAAAAGATATACGAAGCTGTTCACTTGTGTAATAAAATGGAGCTAACTTTTAATTTGTCCATAAATCTATTTAAGAGTTCTTAATTGCTGCTGATTTATATGAAGTGTTAGTTTAATCAAAAGATTTTGATATATAAATATTGAATACTATAGTAGAACTGTTGTCAAAAAAAAATAATCAAGAATAAGATTGCTAAAATTTTTTATCAAATGTATTCGTAACAAATTCAAAAAATTATAATTAACTTGAAAATATATCACTTATGGAAAAACAAGCGTAAAGTGATGCTGTTTCATAGACTGTTAATTCAATTACTCGTTTAATCAAAACCATAAAAAAACACGAAATTAGTTTTCTTAATTATTCCACTGAAATATATGCTGAAACAAGATAATACCTCATTTAAAAAATATCATAAGAAACGAGAATAATAGAATTTTTGAAATTCTTAGTTCATCTAACCAAAATAGATTATACTCTTATAATTTGTGGATCTAATGCAATTAATATATTGGTTGAAATGAAAGTGGATCTAACAAACTAAAATTTCTAAAATATAAGAATTTAAAATACTTCTTTATTTGGAGGTAATTTTGCAAAATGCAATTTATCAAGATCTATATTATAAAATGTAAATATAAATGGAATTAATTTATGCGGAACCTAAATGTTTGATTGTAATTGGAAAAAATTAAAAATAAACGATTTATATTAATTGAATGGTCATACTAGTTATGTCTACTCAGTCTGTTTCTCTCCAGATGGAAATATATTAGCTTCTGGTAGTGAAGATAAGTCTATTTGTTTATGGGATGTCAAAACAGGATAATAAAAAGCCAAATTAGATGGTCATTACTATTCAGTCAACTAAGTCTGTTTTTCACCAGATGGAAATACATTAGCCTCTGGTAGTAGTGATAACTCTATCTTTTTATGGGATGTAAAAACAGGAGTATCAAAAGTAAAATTAGGTGGTCATGATGAGTGTGTCAACTCTGTTTGTTTCTCTCCAGATGGAAATATATTAGCTTCAGGTAGTGAAGATAAGTCTATTTGTTTATGGGATGTCAAAACAGGAAAATAAAAAGCCAAATTAGATGGTTTTACTCATAATGTCTCCTCGGTCTGTTTCTCTCCTGATGGAAATACATTAGCTTTTAGTAGTGATGATAAGTCTATTCGTCTTTGGGATGTCAAAACAGGAAAATAAAAAGCCAAATTAGATGGTTATACTCATAATGTCTCCTCGGTCTGTTTCTCTCCTGATGGAAATACATTAGCTTCTGGTAGTGATGATATTCGTCTTTGGGATGTCAAAACAGGAAAATAAAAAGCTTAATTAGATGGTCACAGTAGTTATGTCTACTCAGTCTGTATTTCTCCTGATGGAAATACTTTAGCTTCTGGTAGTGATGATATGTCTATTCGTTTATGGGATGTCAAAATAGGATTATCTAAAGGCAAATTAAATGGTCATACACATAATGTCAACTCGGTCTGTTTCTCTCCTGATGGAAATACATTAGCTTCTGGTAGTGATGATAACTCTATTCGTCTTTGGGATGTCAAAACAGGAAAATAAAAAGCTTAATTAAACGGTCATAGTAGTTCTGTCTACTCAGTCTGTATTTCTCCTGATGGAAATACTTTAGCTTCTGGTAGCGATGATAAGTCTATCCGTCTATGGGATGTCAAAACAGGATAATAAAAAGCCAAATTAGATGGTCTTAGTAATACTGTCTACTCAGTCTGTTTCTCTCCTGATGGAAATACATTAGCTTCCGGAAGTGATGATAAGTCTATCCATTTATGGAATGTCAAAACAGAACAATAATAAGCCAAATTAGATGGTCATACTAACACTGTCTGCTCAGTTTATTTCTCTCCTGATGGAAACACATTAGCATCTGGTAGTGGTGATTAGTCTATACGTCTATGGGATGTCAAAACAGGATTATAAAAAGCCAAATTGGATGGTCATACTAGCATTGTCTGGTCAGTCTGTTTCTCTCCTGATGGAAATACATTAGCTTCTAGTAGTGTTGATTAGTCTATTTGTCTATGGGATGTCAAAACAGGATAATAAAAAGCCAAATTAGATGGTCATACTAGTACTGTCTACTCAGTCTGTTTCTCTCCTGATGGAAATACATTAGCTTCTGGTAGTAATGATAAGTCTATCCGTCTATGGGATGTCAAAACAGGATAATAAAAAGCCAAATTAGATGGTCATACTAGTACTGTCTACTCAGTCTGTTTCTCTCCTGATGGAAATACATTAGCTTCTGGTAGTAATGATAAGTCTATCCGTCTATGGGATGTCAAAACAGGATAATAAAAAGCCAAATTAGATGGTCATACTAGTACTGTCTACTCAGTCTGTTTCTCTCCTGATGGAAATACATTAGCTTCTGGTAGTAATGATAAGTCTATCCGTCTATGGGATGTCAAAACAGGATAATAAAAAGCCAAATTAGATGGTCATACTAGTTATGTCTACTCAGTCTGTTTCTCTCCTGATGGAAATACATTAGCTTCTGGTAGTAATGATAAGTCTATCCGTCTATGGGATGTCAAAACAGGATAATAAAAAGCCAAATTAGATGGTCATAGTGATTATGTCTACTCAGTCTGTTTCTCTCCTGATGGAAATACATTAGCTTCTGGTAGTGATGATAACTCTATTCGTCTTTGGGATGTCAAAACAGGAAAATAAAAAGCTTAATTAAACGGTCATAGTAGTTCTGTCTACTCAGTCTGTATTTCTCCTGATGGAAATACTTTAGCTTCTGGTAGCGATGATAAGTCTATCCGTCTATGGGATGTCAAAACAGGATAATAAAAAGCCAAATTAGATGGTCTTAGTAATACTGTCTACTCAGTCTGTTTCTCTCCTGATGGAAATACATTAGCTTCCGGAAGTGATGATAAGTCTATCCATTTATGGAATGTCAAAACAGAACAATAATAAGCCAAATTAGATGGTCATACTAACACTGTCTGCTCAGTTTATTTCTCTCCTGATGGAAACACATTAGCATCTGGTAGTGGTGATTAGTCTATACGTCTATGGGATGTCAAAACAGGATTATAAAAAGCCAAATTGGATGGTCATACTAGCATTGTCTGGTCAGTCTGTTTCTCTCCTGATGGAAATACATTAGCTTCTAGTAGTGTTGATTAGTCTATTTGTCTATGGGATGTCAAAACAGGATAATAAAAAGCTATATCAGATGGTCATAGTGATTATATTAGACCTGTCTGTTTCTCTCTTGATGGAAGTACGTTAGCTTTTTCTAATCATGATAACTTAATCAGTTTATGGGATGTTAAAACAGTATAATTAAAATCTAAATTAAATTGCCATATTAATGATATTAGATTAGTCTGCTTCTCTCTTGATGGAAATACATTAGCTACTAAAAGTGGAGATGGCTCTATCCGTTTATGGGCTGTCTAAACAGGATAAGAAATTAAAGACTTAAATAATCGATATAACGAAATATTGGAAAATTGCACGATTTAGTTGTTATAAAACAACCCTTTTACAGGTATTTAGTATTTATAATTTTTAGTTAACACTATTATTCCTATTCTCTGTATATCCTAAACACCAATCTTTTAAGCTAAAGAAGCTCTTGTCCTAAATGGAGAGTTTATTAATTAGTAAGGCTACGATTTAAGATCGTTATTAAAATCAAGAGGATGTTGTATTTTGGTAAACAAAATGCAACAATGACATTTTATTATTTTTTAGAAAATTATAAATATATACTTAAAGTATATTTCTTATATTTTTTTTTTTGAGTAATGATGTGTTTTTGATGTCACTTCTACATTTTACTGAATTGTGTTTAATATACAAATTAACAGTAGAAAATTCAATTTATTTTAATACCTGCTACAATTCCTAACAAATAAAATTTATTAAATTCCTTTTTTAACTTTATATATTTTTGTTCCTTCTATAAAATTGGTAAAATCTTCAAGATTTTAAAATTGTGAATTTAATGCATTACTTTTTAGTTTGAGAATCAACATTAGGCTAAGTTAGTATGGTATGGAGGTTGTAGTCAAATTGAATGCATTGGTTAAGTTAACTTCTTAAATGAAGATTAGACTGGTAGATTCTTTGGTGAAAAAGGTTACACTATTGATAATAATTCATATTTTGTCCAAGTGCAGTTAGTTTACAATAGATAAGAATAATATAATGAATATTGGTGCCCCTTATTTTACATTGGAGTCTTGAACTTACTTAGCACTGCACAAGATCAAAATTTAAGACTATTTTCACCAACTACTTTAATGGGATCAGGATTGAAAATATATATTGAATGCATTTCGTGAATGGAATTGGAATGGACCTGAACCTTACAATTTGATGTTCTTAGCATAGTGTAAGTCAGTGCTGAGCATAGTGTAAGTCAGTGCTGATGGAAAATTAGTTTAACTTGGATTAACAAGAGTTATTTTATAATTTAATATTTTAGATTAATTAACAAATGAATTTAATGGATTACACCAATGGTTTTGGTTTAAATAATTATTTCTATGGAAATTACATATTCATTTTGTTGTGACAACTGGTTGCAAAGTATCTCTTTCGCTTTAAAACACTTTAATGATTTCAACTAGATTGGAACTACTGAAGAATTCTTTGGAAAATAATTCTTTTATGCATTTTCCCTTCTTGGAGGTGATCCATATAATTACTTTAACGTACAAATCGAAGAACAAATTACTAATCTCCAATCATTTAACCCTGGAATCTATTTGTGAATTTCTCAAAACTTTCAAATTTTCTGGATTTTCTAAAATTATTAGAGAGAAAATTATTAATTATCAAAGTTGGCACAAAGAAAAATAAAGCCAAAATTGATGGACATGCTTTAATATAGGATGAGAATTAAAAATCATAATTTAATGTTTTTTTAAATAATAATTAATTAATATTATGAATACAATCTATAAAATTGTCAAATATGCATTATCCTTAACTATTTTTTATTATCTTATTTGCTTGTAAATGAACAGATATAACCACCTGATACGTTAGATCTTGTATTTTATAATATTTTAATAAACCTTAATTCTTAATTTATAATTAACAAATTGTATATTTGTGAAAAATTATTTTGTAACATAACAAAATATACTTATACATTCACATGAGGCCTATGATTCTTATCATTGATATTTCACTTTTAATATATTGTTAGTTCTACAAATTTATTATCCAATTCATTTAAGGAGTTAATTTCATTTTTTTAGAGAAGAAGAAAAAATTCGTTATTTTGGAATTACATATTATGGATATGTATAATTCAGTACCAATCTTGGCGATTATTTAATATAATTTAGGGTAACTTCATAATTTCATAATGAATAAATTTAATTGTGAAATTGAATTAGATGATGAGTTTATAAAATAGATACAGTTTTTAAAGCTAAAAATTATGAGAGGAACTATTTATTTCTATATCTTAATTAATGTAAATCTATGATTATACATAATCTAAGTGATTTATAAATGTTTATTATTGGATGTATGTTAAAATTTAATTTGAGCATAAGTTAATCAGTAATTAAGATTATTACATAGTTGTTAGGGAAGGTATAATTATCTCTGTAAATCACATCCTCTCATAGATATCGTATTTCTAAATGGTTAATTAATCTTTTCAGTCTTTTATAAAATCTAATCCTTTTCATACCAATTGAAGAGGATATGAAGATATTAGCAAGAATAAAGTAGAGTAATTGCAAAAATCATTCAATCTCACTGTTTTAACCTTGTGATAGGTTAAATTATTTATAAGATTAAGTTTATTTTTGAATTCTTGAAGTATCTTTTTATAATCTTTTTTGATAAAATAAATCTTTTAATATTTATCAATTAAAACTTAATTTATTATTTTTAATATCAATCCCTACTCTAAAAAATATTATATCCTAGATGATTTAAAAAGAATATAATGTAAAATTAGTTTTCTTTAAGTAATTATATGGATCTTTATTTTAATGTCTTCATTTTGCTTAATGTTCTCTGTTTAAATAATTATTTTAAAGTTGTATCATTTAAAATTAAATCTCAAGAATTATTAATGGATAACAGTTATATGATATTTAAATAAATAATAATCCCTATATATGCCTTAAATGGAAATTAACTTAGAAAAATAAGAACTTACTTACCTTAAAAAATAAAGATTAAGAATGACTTAAAAAGATAAAATTAAAAAATATATTAGATATTGATTGTAATGATAATTGTTGTTTGATAATTATCAAAATCACTTTTTCTATAAGTCTTCTAAAAAGTAACTTCCTTTTTATTTAAACAATGTTTTTAATTCTATACCTGATTGATTAATAAATTTTCCTTACAAGATAAGTGTACCTCTTGCTTCAAATTAAGGATTCTAACATATCCTAAGTATAGTACGATCTGGCTCAACTAAAAAATAATAAATAAAAAATACCATTTGGTAATAATGAATTATTCTAAAGTGGTATTTTTAATTATGGAAGAATATCTTTGTAGTTTTTATCAGAGGATTTAATTTCTTATCCTGTCTTTACATCCCATAGACGGATAGAGTTATCATCACTACCAGAAGCTAATGTATTTCCATCAGGAGAGAAACAGACTGAGTAGACATAATGAGAATGACCATCTAATTTGGCTTATTATTATCCTGTTTTGACATCCCATAGACGGATTGACTTATCATAACTACCAGAAGCTAATGTATTTCCATCAGGAGAGAAACAGACTGAGTAGACATAATGAGAATGACCATCTAATTTGGCTTTTTATTATCCTGTTTTGACATCCCATAGACGGATAGAGTTATCTCTACTACCAGAAGCTAATGTATTTCCATCAGGAGAGAAACAGACTGAGTAGACATAACTAGTATGACCATCTAATTTGGCTTTTTATTAAACTGCTTTGACATCCCATAGAAGAATAGACTTATCACTACTACCAGAAGCTAATGTATTTCCATCAGGAGAGAAACAGACTGATTAGACCCAATCACTATGACCATCTAATTTGGCTTTTTATTATCCTGTTTTGACATCCCATAGACGGATAGAGTTATCATCACTACCAGAAGCTAATGTATTTCCATCAGGAGAGAAACAGACTGAGTTAATACAATTACTATGACCATCTAATTTGGCTTTTTATTATCCTGTTTTGACATCCCATAGACGGATAGACTTATCATCACTACCAGAAGCTAATGTATTTCCATCAGGAGAGAAACAGACTGAGTAGACATAATTACTATGACCATCTAATTTGGCTTTTTATTATCCTGTTTTGACATCCCATAGACGGATAGACTTATCATCACTACCAGAAGCTAATGTATTTCCATCAGGAGAGAAACAGACTGAGTTAATACAATTACTATGACCATCTAATTTGGCTTTTTATTATCCTGTTTTGACATCCCATAGACGGATAGACTTATCATCACTACCAGAAGCTAATGTATTTCCATCAGGAGAGAAACAGACTGACCAAACTTAATTACTATGACCATCTAATTTGGCTTTTTATTATCCTGTTTTGACATCCCATAGACGGATAGACTTATCATTACTACCAGAAGCTAATGTATTTCCATCAGGAGAGAAACAGACTGACTAGACATAATTAGTATGACCATCTAATTTGGCTTTTTATTATCCTGTTTTGACATCCCATAGACGGATAGACTTATCACTACTACCAGAAGCTAATGTATTTCCATCAGGAGAGAAACAGACTGATTAGACCCAATCACTATGACCATCTAATTTGGCTTTTTATTATCGTGTTTTGACATCCCATAGACGGATAGAGGTATCCCAACTACAAGAAGCTAATGTATTTCCATCAGGAGAGAAACAGACTGACAAGACCCAATCACTGTGACCATCTAATTTGGCTTTTTATTATCCTGTTTTGACATTCCATATACGAATAGACTTATCACTACTACCAGAAGCTAATGTATTTCCATCAGGAGAGAAACAGACTGACTAGACATAATGAGTATGACCATCTAACTAGGCTTTATATTATCTTGTTTTGACATCCCATAGATGGATAGAGTTATCATAACTACTAGAAGCTAATGTATTTCCATTAGGAGAGAAACAGACTGACATAACATAATCACTATGACCATCTAATTTGGCTTTTTATTATCCTGTTTTGACATCCCATAGACGAATAGACTTATCACTACTACCAGAAGCTAATGTATTTCCATCAGGAGAGAAACAGAATGACTAGAAATAATGAGTATGACCATCTAATTTGGCTCTTTTCTTTCTTGTTTTAGTATCCCATAATATTATAGACCCTTTACCAATTCTAAAAGCTAATGTATTTCCATCAGGAGAGAAACAGACTGACTATACAGCTTCATCATAACCATCTAATTTGGCTTTTTATTATCCTGTTTTGACATCCCATAGACGAATAGAGTTATCGTCACTACCAGAAGCTAATGTATTTCCATCAGGAGAGAAACAGACTTATCCAACATTACTATGACTATCCAACCTATTCAATTCATGGATTTTCAAGTTCTTCCATTTACAATTGAATAGTTAAGCTCCATTCAAATTCAATCCGCTGATATCTACATTATCAAACTCAGATCTACTCAAGTTACTTCTAACAAAGTTTCCCCCAATTAAAGAAGTATTCTTCATCCTGATATTTACAAAGGATTGGTTACTCATATTTACTTTCATCCAAACTAAGGTGTGTAATGAATTAGATCCACATTAGATAAAAGTGTTATCTATAGCTGTAAGTTGAACTAAAAATTACAAAAATTCAATGATCCTTCTATTATCTTTGATGCTTTAAATTAAACTTAATTTTGATTCTTCATTTTCTTTAGAGGAAAAGTCTTTGTAATTGAAGTCATGATTTTTTAATTTTTTTAATAAATTTGTAATTTATTTCATGTCATTTCCAATAACAGACAATTTCTATTCTATATCAGCTTGGGTAATATTCCCTAATTATTATAAAATTTATAATTCTAATTGTTTCTGATTCCCAATATCTGATAAAAATCCAATGCAATCTTTACCTTGCTCCTTTCTTAAAAATTCTAGGATGACACCAAAGATTTGTATATCTACATCTTTTACTTCATCCATGAGATCAGCTCCCGTTCGAAAAAGCTGTGTTTTTTAGCCCATAGCTTTCTTCTTTTAAAAAGAGCATCCCATTTTTTTTATTTTTAATAATGAATTTTTATTACTCTAACTTGAATTTATATACTGCAAAATTGATAAAAGTATCTTGTGCATATCTGTAAAATAGAAGTTAGGATTTTGTGTAGATTTGGAATTGATTGAAGTAGATGTTAATGATGCTATTGAGAATTCATTTCAACATCTGCATAGCTTGATTTTTTAATAATATAGAATATTTTTATTATATATGACAAAATTGAGTTCTAAGAATAATTCATTAATTTTTCTTATCTTTGATTTTTCAGCTACATGTTTTGAGATTGGAATATGTGTTTTTTATCAAAGGTGATACTGAGAGAAAACATAATAAGAAAAACCTAAACGCTATTCATTTCGTCAGTGGTCTTAGATTGGTACACTCTATATGTCAATATTTGTATATGTAATATTTTTTGGATATTTTTTATTAATGTCTAAAATCTAGTATGACCCTTCTAATGGAGGTAACCTTGTCTC